GGGGGGGGGGGGGGGGTTGGATAGAGTGAGGGAGGTTTATAATCCTTGTTAGCATTTTATTTTATTTCATCCCTGGTGGTTAGCAGGGTCACCAGAACCAGTGTCCCCATTGGATGATTTTCCACCTACTATATTCCTGTTCTGGTGACAACCCAAAATTTAGGTATTGATTTCACTTTCATTTTCTGTGATTACGGTCACCAGGACAAATAAAGAGGGTGAATCTTCCTCTCCACTCTATCCAAAACTAACAAAAATGTTTTTGCTTCAAAACCTAGGAGTTAAATCTTAGAAATGCATTCAAGTACCTTAACTAATAACAAAAATGTAGCGTATTTGTGTATCACTCACTCATTCATGCTGACACTGTTCTACCTTCTGGAGGGTGGCTACTTTTGTTCCCCATGGACGCTGTGTGTATTGTAAAGTAGCCACCACTCCGAGCTCACTCCTGTGATGGACTACAATCTCACGTTTAGTTTACTAATTTGAACTGACATTATAGCCTATAGGAGCTCACGTGAGGAACAAAAGTAGACACCTTCCAGAAGGAAGGCCAGTGTCTGCACCAATTCAGAGATGATTTGAGGATCTACAGCTGATTGATACACAAATAAAATACATTTTGTTCATAGTTAAGGTACTTGAATGCATTTTTAAGATCTAACTGCTGAATTTAGTGTCACTTTAAGAGAAACCCGTAGTGGGAAGAATACATGGGTAACTCTTGTAACTACTGACACAGAACAAAAACAGATTGGGAGTTTTTACAACACTTGATGCATTCTTGTTCCAGGTCAGTGATTTAAAAATGGCTGAAACCAGAGACAACCAGGCGGTTAACATTTTTAGAAGGTGGTCAGCCGTTGCAGCCTACATATCTCTCTCATTAGGGCTTTCTGCTAACAAGGAGTATTACTAATATATTTTTGAGGGATTTGCAAAGCACAGGTATTCAACTACCTTTTAAGAGGACCCTGCTTTAAAGAGTAATTCTAGTGCAGGGCTATCTCTTTAGTTTTGGACCACTGTGCTATATGTGTTCTAACAACTGAACACCATATAAGACACAGTAGATACCATATTTTATATTTTATGTTTTGTCTGGTTACAGCGCGATTTATATCCTGTGCTTCCATTGAGTGTTTGTATCAGGATCCTGACATCTGTCGCTGAGGGTTTGACCTTCTTACACAACCTTTACCCTACTATAATGCACCAACGCCTGAAGCCCTGCAATATACTTTTGGATGCCCAGTATCATGCAAAGGTAAGGAGGCTGGAGCATAACCTTAAAAGAATGTTAGAATGTTTCAAAATCTTTATTTCTATTTGATTTAATCTTATTGGAATTCGTATAAAAGCAAATAGATTTTCAATAGGTTTATGTCTTCTTTTCAGCTGTATGCAAAATACTATAAATGTATTGGAATAGTCCTATGCTTAAGATTAGTTGTCTCCTGATCTTATCCCTTTTGTGGGTGGCCCTGTTGGCACCATTCCATTCGACAAAAGCTGCAGTTAGGATTGCCACCTTTCCAGGATTCATCTGGACAGTGCGGGTTTTGAATGCTGTGTTCGGGTTTCATGGCAGCAGAAACCCGGACACAAGATGTCAGGCAGACAGGGGCAGCCAAAATTAAGATAGGGGCTACTGGTCCCCCCACTGAAAATAGTCTCAGCTGTGATATTTACATATGAACAAGCCGCGACTCATTCTCCCCCAAACAATGTCCGCCCATCGCTAGAGTGTTCAGGTTTCGCTTGAAGAAAAGGTGGCAACCCTAGCTGCAGTCAGTGTTCAGCTCTGACCACAGCGAGTGCTGCATGTCAAAATACAATAGTCCAGCAGAGGTGATTCTCCCATCCACGCTGCTTAGCATTGGTGGAGTAATCAAGCAGAAAAACTGCAAGTGAATGGCCAGCTTAATGTAGACTGGGCAGCCAGAGATTTCCACTTCTTAACAGCAGGCAGACTGATCTGATTTGGCCATCCACAGTGATTTCCACATCTGCAAGACAACAGAAAATTGTTAAAGGAGAACTATGGGGTAAGTGCTTTCCCCCATAGTTATCCTAATGGTCACAGGAGGACACATACTAGTGTCTTCCCATGACCCAAAGCTCAGTATATGGTGAGCTACATCTCGCGGTATACTGAGACCGCTGCAGCCGTGACAGATCCCGACATTACTGTCAAGATCCACCCAGCTGTGTGAGTGACATCTGGCTCTGCCTATCTAGAGGCAGAGCCAGCTGTACCTGCCCCCTCCCCCGTCTGTTCCACCACTCAGCGCTTGAGGATCGGAGCGGAGAGGGGGGGAATCCCTGCAGGGAGCCGTGAGTGACAGTCACGGCTCTCTGCAGGGAGATGATCGAGAAGTGAGCGAGCGACGGTATGTGTTCGCTCACTTCCTGATCTATTGAGCCGATGTGTGACAGTTTCTTTGTCACACGTCGGCTCGAACTATGAGGTTGAGTGAACATCACTAACCTCATAGTTCTCCTTTTAAGAACGCAAAATGCAAACTCTGATGCAACCCTTAATCAACTGCTTCATACATCCTGTTTGAACAGTAGGAAACTAGAAAAATATGCAGAAGCTGATACCCACATTGGTTATCGGTAGGAACGCGTTAATTTTAAAACCCAAATGCAGTGTTCAGTGGAATTTTGAATTAGAATGCCCAGGATCATGGGCACTATTCTCTGCAGAGTAAACAGGTATGTAAGGTAACCCACAACTCTATCGCTTCTTTCCAACTACACTTTTATCTACTAATCTGTATCTTTCAAACAACCAATGTATGTGACTTGTTTTTACAACTCTATGTAGGCATATGACAAAAAGTGAACAATCACAAATTGTAAGAACAGGTTCATACAAAATTATCATTTCACATTCATCATATAGAGACTGGTACATATGCAGGACTAATATTCGAAATGTGAACAGCATGTAAATGTGGAAAAAAAGAATGTGAAAGCTATTGGCTGGTAAACCTAGAGTAAGCATTGAATTAGCGTTAAATACTTAGAGAAACACAGGTTTTAGCCAGACCCGTTGAGCCCGTATGGTCATCTGTGAGTGACACCTGTTGTGGCTACCATACAATTGTGACATATTTTTATTGTATTTTTTCTGTAGCAAGGACACTGCAACACCATGCAGATTTGTTTTTAATGTATAAATTCTAGTTTTCACTTTTTGAATGTTCTTGTCTAAAACTACAGCATTTTGCAGTTTTGGTCTGTTTTGATTCTAATTCTTTCACTGTTCTCAGTTAAATGCTGGGGTCTGTTTTGATTCCATTTTCACTCACAGAAGTGTATTAGAAACTTTTTTTAAAGATTTTAAGAGAATGACCTGGTTAACATTTGTAAAGTATTGGGGAATCTGTCCCAAAAGGCTACAGGACTTCAGCAAGAGCATTGATCATTGCTGCGCACTTTAAAAAAAGAGACCATGGGCACGTACTGCATATGCTGTGGCGATGCCCAAAATTATTACGTTATTGTGGACACACTGAATGCTGTCTTCCAAGTAGTTAAACATGGAGACCCTCTTATTGCATATTGGTCTGCACACATCTTCTACAAATGAAGCTCATTTAAAGAATGCTGTTTCAAGCCATTAAATTGATTTTGTTATATTGGGAGTCCTTACGATCCTCCACTCTTCAGCGATGGCAGAATCATATCAATACTATGCTAGAAATTTAAAAAAACTTGTATGTGCCCACGGGGGAACGCCAATGAATTTTTGACAAGATTTAGAACAGCTAGCTCAGCACTCCTTGCATGGCCTACTTAGATCTTGTGACAACTTTGGGGTGTAGGGTATGTAGACTATCCTCCTAAGATATGCAAGTCCTCATTTCTGGCGATTACCATCTCAAGATCCTGTGGTGCCCAGATAAGATGTTTATATGAGTGGTGTAGGAGCTGGGGGTAAGCTATGCAGCTATTATTTGACAGGGTAGGGTCTAGAGAATGTCTCCTTTATGTTACCTGTTTATTTAATAGAGATACAATGTTGATGCATGCTCTTTTAGGATATGTTCTTTATCCACATGTATGTTTGCTATTCCTAGTATATTAGCTGCAACCTGTGTAACAGAGTCAATTGTGAACAGGGGCGGAACCACTGCCGGTGCAGCTGCATCGGGGTCTGATGCTATGGGGGGGCGCAGTGAGGTCCGGTCCTGGGCACCCACTTGGTGGAATATGGGGCAGTGCCAACAGGCTTCTCGGCAAGGTGACCGGGTCCTGTGACCCACCGATCCTCTCCCGTGCGCGTCCCTAGTAACAGGCGACGGGAGAGGAGAAGTGTGTCACACGCCCCACCCCTTGCAACACCGTCTGTCTGCAATGTGGTGAGGATCTGGCTGGGTGAGTCCGAGCGGCGAGCAGGGAGGGGGGGCACTGTAAAAACAAACCTTTGCAAAGTGCAAATTGGGAGCTCCATGACATCTTGGTTATATGATGATACCGATGTTTAGTGATGATGTTTCAGGTCCCTGGAAGCACCGTCTGGGAACGTCGATCCACGCTTTCAATAGAGCCATTCATAAAATCATGTAACTTGTCCTTGTGCATAATTTCGAACCACAGATCAGCACTTGGTTTGATAGATGTGTGTTATGGTTGGAACAGCATCAACTGCTATGCTAATTCCAGCCGTGGCCCTAGTAAGCCAAGTGTAATGTCTAAATGTTTGTCTTAGTGTTGAAGCTCTGACACCTGGAGGGTGGGAGCCGGTTTATTCAGTATACTCCCGGCTGTCTGCCTGCCCTGATTATTCTACAATGGCTCTGTCCAGAGAACTTCGCAGCTGCTGATACTTCAGGCTTACTTCACACCCAGACAATTTGAATTTTGAGTTCACCTTCTTTAAATAAGTTTTTCCACTGACCTTGTTCTTAGATTCCATCAGACAGCCAAAGATGATGCAGGTCTAGCTGTATGTATTCCTGCAGATAAAATCCAGGAGTATGGCCTTTACACCGATGAGCGCTGGTACAGTAATGACATAATTAGCCATGTGCATCGGGAAAAGTCAAACCCCATTCCTGTGCTAGGGAATGTTTCCATTAGCCCCTCTTAGGGCTTTGTCATTAAAGTTGAATTCCACAGTGAAATATGCAGTTGAAATACATATATTGAAGCTTTTTTTACTTGCTTTTTTCCTATCCCTTCAGTCTTCAGATGTACAAAGCCCTTTCACACAGCACACCTAGGTTCTTAACAGCCAGGGCAGGCGAGGGTTTGTCATCGCAAATCGTATGTGCAGGAAAACCGATCTGCCCTGGAACAGCTGCTCGGTCCCGAAATGTCACTTCTATCCGACTTTGTGAGTGCTGTGGAATGTGAGATCGCAGTCACAAAGTCACACATTCTAACGTAGTCACAAACTTTGATAGAACACTGCCAGTGGGGGCCAGTGTGATACGCTCCCGCGCCTCACCCCCCATTCCTGGGAAGGGGGCCCAAAATAAAATCTTGCACCAGGGCCCTTTGGTTATTAGGTCTGCCACTGAATGTGAAGATGCAATACCTTGTAAGATGTGAAACTATTAATAAACGCTTATTCACAAAAAAAGGGTAGAGAGTATTTAAAAGTACAGTAATGTGTGTAGTTTTAATAATGATGGTATATATACTTTCTTTTGTATTAACAGATATGGAAATTATTTATATTAATTACATATAACTTTTTTCAGCTTTCAGATGTCCAATTACCAAACTTACCAAAGCTTACAGTTTCTTCGGACCTTGATGATAATGCACACAGAGTCTATATGTCACCTCAGAGACTACAGGGACATGAGCCAACCACAGCAGATGACATTTACAGGTTAGCTTGTTTTTTTATTTATTTTTTTACATTTTCCCATTAAATATCAATACTGTAAATAGAATTTACCCATCAATTTGCCTAAAGTGTATTTTGTTTTGGTTAGGCACTTTTACACCAGCAGAGATGACCTGTCAGCCAGAGTGTCTGGTGACTAACTTTAGGTAGCTTTGCTTGTATAGGTAATGAATAAAACTGACAAATGCAGATAAACATAATATGAGGTGAATACATTTAGGGTGCAAATTATATATAACATTATTTTAATTCCATACATTAGGAATTTTAACAGTCTAATCTACCATGGCACACTGCTTTTGTTAATGCACTTTTACAGGTGAAACTCGAATAATTAGAATATCGTGCAAAAGTAATTTCAGTAAGTGCTGCAAAAGGAGCCCAAACCAAGTACTGAGTACATATGCATGCTTGTACTTTTCAGAAGTCCGATATTGTTCTATGTACAATCCTTGTTTTATTGATTGCATGTAATAATCTACTTTTTTGAGGTTGTGGATTTGGGGTTCTTGGGGTTTTCATGAGCTGTAAGCCATAATCATCACAATTATGACAAATCACGGCTTGAACTATCTTGCTTTGCATGTAATGAGTCTATCTCATATATTAGTTTCCCCTTTTAAGTTGCATTAGTGAAATAAATGAACTTTGCACGATATTCTAATTATTCGAGTTTCACCTGTATACATTTAAGGGGCCTAACTGATAAATGGGTTTTAAGGTAGGCATAAGATGATAGTTGCACATGAGATACTAATCTTGTATGTGAAGAAGTCTAGAAGAGAAACACATAGAGAGTCCCTTACAATGGTTAAAGTGGAGAAATGTTTCCCTAAATTGGTATTTAGTAAAGCGTCCCTTACATTGGTGGTCGGTGTGAGAGGTGTTCCCTTATATTGGTTGTTCCTGGGAGAAGGGCACCTTTACTTCATAGTTATTGAGAGAGGTGTCACCTAACATCCATGTTCAGTGAGAGGAAGAATGCCCCATACATTGTTCTTTTTTTGTTTTCTTTTTTTTTCCTCTTCTTTTTTATTATTTTTTCTGAGTGGCCAGACTATTATGACCACCTGACGTTTGTAGGCAAATTAGCTATAATTGGCTATAATTTCACGCTGAAGTTGCTAGAGGGCCAGACAATTATAAATAGGGAGGCAGATTGTTCACCACGACAGTAGAAGTGATTTTTTTCTGAAGATATGGGTAAACAACACGATTTAACAGCCTTTGAACGTGGGATGATTGTTGGCGCTCGGAGCCATGGGGCGAGTATCAGCAAAACAGCAGAATTCGTTAAATGTTCAAGAGCAGCTGTTGTTAAAGTGTTTAAAGACTGGACTGTCAGCCGAAAATCTGGGTCTGAATGTGCGAATTGTGGCCGTCAGCGACTAGTCAATGTTAGGGCGGAACGGAGAGTGGCAAGACTGGTACAAGACAACAGAAGGGCAACAGTGCAGTGTCAGATTCCTCGCATCACCTTTCAACATCTTGTGGAGTCACGAGTCGGCCCAACAAAGTCATCTCGTGGAGTTATCTCATGGCCCAACAAAGTACTCATGGGGTGGTCATAATAACCTGGCCACTCAGTGTATATATTGATATATTTATATATTAGGGATGCACCGATATATCGGCCGCCGACACATATCGGCCGAAAATGGCCCTTTTGGCTAAATGCTAAAAGTGCAATTTTCCTGCCAATACATCGGTGCATCCCTGCTTTCTTCTCTCACTGCTGGGCACTGCTCTGTGTCCCAGCGGGGAGGAGAGAAAGTGTGACAGCCAGCTGAGCGCTGCGGGAGGAGAGCGCTGTGAGCGTCCGGCGTCTCTCCTCTAACACCGCTGAGCCTCCTATCATAGTCCGGCAGAGCGCTGTGTGGGCGGAGACAGCCACGGTCTCACAGGAGACTGAGCTCTCCTCCCTGCACCGCTCGTTTAGCCTCCTGTGACAGCATGTCAGAGAGGAGTAAAAGTGCAAACACTCAGCGATCAGTGATTGCTGAGTGTTTGTACATAATGGAGGACATGGTATGGTTACTATAGCCTTAATTATGAATGAATGGGAGTGATCTACATCACCTCCTGTTCATTCATAGTTGTAGTTATAGTAAACATACCATATCCTCATGTTATGAATGAACAGGAACACGCATAGAGGATTCCTGTTCATTTATAACAGGGTTGCAGAAAAAGAGATTGAGGGCTTTGTGCCCTCAATCTCTTTTTCTATTTTAAAAGGGAAATATCAGGGTTCTGTTGAGACCCCCAATATTCCCCGAAACCCCTAAAAGTAAAGTAAAAAAATACAAATATTTATTCAAAAATGAATTAATATATTAAAAATTAAAAACTTTATAAAAAATAAAAGTAAAATATTTGAAAAAATTAAAATAAAAAACACTTTCGGTTTCGGCCAGGGGAAACTGTGTTCACTTCAGTCATCCAACCATGTGCAAGCACAAATCCTGCTTTTAGAACTCTTTTGATTAGCTATTAATGCAAATACAGCTTCCGCTTATTCATAGACTAAGTAATCATTCACTTATGAAAGGGAACGGCCTGACCTAAGTTTATCCCCCATTGATTCTAGTTGACAAAAAGTATGAAGTGCCTGTGGCAAAATGGAAACAGGTGACTGTCAGGGTTATGAATTAAACCCTGGAAATTACCTCAGAGGTTATGAGGAAAATAAAGCTGATACAGAAATCACATGACAGAGATAAACTATGTCACTGCACTATTTCTAACATAAAACAAGAGTACAATATGAAACTGCAACTAGGTGTACATATGTTTTTCCTATGAATGTTGTTAAACATATATATTATATATTTTTGTCTTCAGCTTAGGGATCATGATTCAAGAACTTCTGAGCAGGAAATGTCCACTCCAGGGTAAGACTTGATGCAATAGCTATGGCTTTATTTAAATGTAAAGATTGTCCATGTGCAGTTACTGGCAACAACGCATCAAATTTCACCAGTTGCTTGGCTCATTCATTCAACTTTTAATATAGATCTTATTATTTTTTACTATAGATCTTATTATTTTGTATTACTGTTTTCTGTCCATGCACCAGCAATCTGTCTGTGTACCAGCAGACATGCCAATTGGCCTGATCACCATGTGCTAGATCTTTTCCAAATTAGCCATACTTAGGTATGGCCAGATGTGAAAAACATACAGCTGTTCAGCTTCAATTCAATCACAGCAATTACAGTCCCAAATACACAAATGAATGTATTTAAAGTGTTGCATTAACAACACTTAACATTTAAAACCTATATAGTGTTGCATATCTACCTGTAATGTCAAAAACGTTTATGCTTTCAATTTAATCATATCTGGTAATCCCACCAGTAAGGTGTATCTACGGCACTTGCTTTCCTAGAGTGATGCTTACCTTCCGTACATGCTCCCAAATGGATTACAAGCAGCCATTGAAACGCACAATTCACTGACACATTCCATTCAAATTAATGCTGTACAACTGTAGAGGTCATTAAAACTGTAATGTGTACCCATCCAAAAGAAGTTCATACAAAGAATACACTGGATGTGCACAGTGCAGGAAGAGAAAGCAAAATCTGGAGGCTTCCCTGGCGGTATTTTATGTATTATATTTTTTTTAAGGCTGGTTGGATCACACAGATACCTCTTCCCATTTGGATCTTCTCCAATGGTGGGTGTTCCTAGCACTATAGGTACAGGGTGCCATGGTGATGCCCCCTCGGGGCCCAGAAGGGTGGGTCCCTGACACATTCACAGTTTGTCTTCAGGGTTAAATGATGCTGGTTGCCATCCAACCTAAACATCTAATGGTGCTTTGTATTTACTGCAGGGAACAGAGTTGGAGGCCCTGGTTGGCAGTCTGGCAACTCTGGAAATTACTAGGATGCCCAAAGAGTAATTGTAGGGCTGCTTGAATTGTTATGGTTGTAGGCTACAGTTTCACCTTTGCATTTATGTAACATGCATTTTACAGGAGCTACCACTTATCCTTAGGGAGAATGTTCTTGCTGTAAACTGCATTCAAATATGCAGCAAGCAGGACTTTTTTTGCAACATACTAAAAGGAAATGTGTGAATATAACCTTAGTCCAATACATAAATGTGAGAAAAGATGTTTCCTATGTGAGAACTGCTTTCTGGGCTCACTCTTACATTTGCTTCCATACTGCTGTCCTATATTTCTGTTTATTTTTCATGTTTTAGGAATGGAAGTAGCTGTAGTTGGTGCTATTGAGCTGGATGACATGGCAATGTTGCAGAACTAGTTGTGCAAGGCGTCTCTGTTACTGGAAATGCGTGGCTGGTATTTCCACAACATAGGATACTACTGCTATTTGTTGTACAATTTCCATTTTTATAGCCATAAACGCAAGACGGCAATACAACACCCCAGATGAAACATGCTGGATTCATATATTTAAAGGACAAGTTCAACTTTTGCACAAATTAAAGAAATGCATAATTAATAGTATATAAAAAAATATGCATTTCTTTCATATTTGCATTGAAACCTGGAAAGCATTGCAATCGTAATCACTCGATCACAGCTGCAAAGCTCGGGCATCTGCACAACTGTCAGAGCTCATACAAAGGTACGGAGTTTCAGGTAAGAGGGATGGGGGAAGGACGGCTGCACTTCAAACTGCATTAAATCACCTCATACGGCATCCAGTCGTCCTCGGTCTAGGTGGAGCTGCCCAGATACCCGCATCTACCTAGAAGGAGGACAGCTGGACGGCGTGTGAGGTGATTTAATGCAATTTGAAGTCCAGCCGTCCTTCCCCATCTCTCTCAACTGAAACTCCGTACTTCAGTATGGAGCTCTGCCTGGGAGAGACTGTGCGGAATGCAAATATTCAGGCTTGAATGCAATATCCAGGCTTGAATGCAAATATTAAAGAATTGCATATTTTCTTTTAAAAACTATTATGCATTTCTTGAATATTTTCAAAAGGTGAACTTATTCTTTAACCACTTCAAGACCAGGTTGTTCAATGTATATGTGTAGTGAGCAATGAATGACCGGCAAGGAGTCCCGGAGACACTAATTATCTTTATAGAGCATTTTTGAAGAAAAAAAAACCTACAGTAAATCAATAATGTTTCTTTATAAAAAAAAAATAATTGTTGTTTTGGAGCTCAGTGTGATCCAAACTGTGTATAAATAGGGTAATGCATCCAGTGGTGTAGGAATTATTGCACTTACAAGGGGAAAGGTATTGTTCTTGATGGAAAGGCTGCCTGCATCGGTTGATGAGGTATCCTGTACCTTAATCTATCAATATTCACCTTCTAACTGCCTGTTAGGATCCAGAGCACCTCAAGGTGGCGCTGAAGCTAAGCCCTGCAGTTCCTGTGCTCACCTGCAGGTATCTCCAGGCAGCCAGGAACTGTTAGGTACCAGACCACCACTGGGTGGTGCTGGAACCTGCAGCTCCAGTGCTCTCCTGCAGGTGCCTCCCAACTGCCGGAACTTAGCCATCACCTGGTGCTTCCTGGGAGGGTATTTAAACCCTCCCTGCAGTCAGGATGATGGCTCAGTATCCTGTTGTTTCCTGTGAGTCCTGTTACCTGTTTGAAGTCCTGTTTCCATTTCCTGCAAATCCTGAGCCCTGTCCCCTGCTTGTTGTCCTGAGCTCTGTTCCCTGCTTGTTGTCCTGAGCTCTGTTCCCTGCTTGTTGTCCTGAGCTCCGTTTCCTGCTTATTGTCCTGAGCCCTGTTCCCTGCTTGTTGTCCGGAGCTGTGACTTGCTTATATTCCTGAGTCCTGTTTCCTCCTTGTACCCTGACCTTTTGTCCCTTAGTTCCCCTGGTGTTTTGCTTTGCTCCCTGGGTTTACTTGCCTGTTACTTTTTGCATGTGGTTTGGTTTAGATGTAGTTGGTTACTCTTACTTGTTTCTGTTTATATTATTTTGGTTGGCATATTAAAAATATATATAAACTAATTTGCCTTGTCTTGTGTGGTCACGCCTTTGGTCCTCTTGCGTGGGTACCTGTGCAGGTATGGGGTCACCTGTGCCGGTATCCCTGACACTGCCACAGATTGATAGTTGGTAGCAGGGGAAGCATACTGGGCTTGATTTACCAGCCTGTCTGAGGGAAATCGGTGTTTCAGATAGCAGCCAATCACATTACACTTCCACTATCTTTCAGTGAAAGAAGGACAGGCTGAATTTGATTGGTTGCCTTAAGTAACAGGCCTGTACAATTCTTCCCTCAAGCACACCACTGCATCGTATTATACAGCACCTCCCGTCTGCAGCAGATCACATTATTCTCATGGAGGAATTCTTGAGACTTGGCAATCCTGCTCCATTTGTGAGTGTGGATGGGGCCTTAGTGTTTGTTCTTTGGTGTATTTTTTACAAAGACTGGGTACACCGAGTACAAAATCTACTGGAGCACAAATTCTGGTTCCACATCTTTCCTGCTGGGCTGCTATTTGATTTGCACAAGGAAATAGTAAATGGATGTCATAAAACTTTGTTTGACCAAAATGGGAAAAAGCCAACATAATACCTCAAATACTTCAGGTTTACAAAGACAACCACTTAAATAAGCTTGTTTTGGTTGAACAGTGAACAAGTCACATAGTTATAAATAGCTGTTTAGTAGTTGTGTGCTGTATATGGCAGATGTTATTTTTAAGTGAAATACATTGTTTTCAAATATTCATTCACATATTCAAATTAAGTGCAGCGGTCTTTGCTTTATAGGTCCATAATATAATATATGATGGGCCGTGTATGTTTGTGGTTCATAGAGCTATGTGTGATTTATTAATTCAATCACACATATACAGTTGGGCATTAAAGAAGAAGGTACAGGTCTGTGAGAGCCAGAACTCTTGCTTGTTTGTAGGTGACCAAATACTTATTTTCCACCATAATTTGCAAATAAATTCGTTCCAAATCAGCCAATGTGATTTGTCTGGACTTGTTTTCTCATTTTGTCTCTCATATTTGAGGTCTACCTATGATGCCAATTACAGGCCTCTCTCATCTTATGTGATTTTGGATTTAGATCTTGGATTTTGGATTTGGATCTTATGTGATTTTGGATTTTGGATTTAGTAAGACTATAGAAGATGGGGTCTATATATAAACGATTTTAATAGCCAGTTACCTTGAGATTCTCAGTAAATATTCATTATGTGTGACCAGAGGCCAAAGTGAACATTCTTTGCATATTTTCTTTTCAGGGCAAATGTAATACTGCATTATGGCCCCTAGATGGAGCTGATACAAAGAATGTTCACTTTGGCCGGTATTCGCACAGAAAGAACATTCACAGAAATTTGCAGGGCAAATGGCTCTGCAAATTGTTTATAAATGGGCCCCTATGTATTTCTCATTGGGAGAATAATCTGTTTTTCTTTGGTGTGTGTGTATATATAGGAAGGTGGAATTTATAATGAAGTAAATACCCTACTGTGGGTGTAATGTTTATGTAATTGACACCTACACACAGGTTCTTTTCCCCTTTAACCTGTTTGCTGTCAACAACGTATGCCATAAATCGCTGGATGCAGGCCCCTTTATGCAGACTCGGGACTCTGCTTACCTGTGTAAAAGCGACTGTCATCTTCACACTAGAAGTAATTCTGGTGGCTAAGCTGCCGCCAGATTGCTTCCACGGGCCAGTAAACAGTGCCCCCGCCCGACACCCCCGCCTGTTTCCCTGGTTCTGAAGCCCGTCCAGCTGACCACGATATTGGCATTACTGGTGTCGGTGGGAAGCGGGTGAGAGATGCCAGCGAATGACATGATTGCACCAAACATGTTAAGTATCGCCACATGCACCAAACTGAGAGCAATAATTCTAGGGCCCACATTCATGGTTACCTCTAAACTGATGATCTGTAAGGGATTTTAAAGCGTCGCCTATGGACACTTTGGGGTACTGTATTTTCACGAGCGTGCACACTTTTTAAGCTTGGCATGTTGGGTATCTATTTACTCGGCAAATCCTCATCTTTTATGGGTATTATATTGTGTATTATATTGTGTGTTTGTGCACTAAATAACTTAAATGTATTTTTTTTTAAATTTGGGGTTTGATAAAGAGTTGCACTATTATCATGCAAAATAAAAATGTGCAACCTCTGCCGTTTTATTCTACAGGGTCTTTGCTTTCGGAAAATATATAATGCTTGGCGGGTTTTAAAGGAGAACTATGGGGTTAGGGCTTTTCCCCATAGTTCTCCTAAGGGTAACGGGAGGACACAAACTAGCGTCCTCCCGTCACCCTAAGCTCAGTATACCGCGAGACGCCACAGTATACCGCGAGCTACAGCTCACGGTATACTGAGACGCCGCAGCTGAACTGAACCCCAACAATTATGTCTGGATCCGCCCAGCTGCGTGAGTGACAGCTGGCTCTGCTGTCACTCAGCCAGCTGTACCCGCCCCCTCCCCCGTCCGTTCCGCCAGTCAGCGTTGGGGGATCGGAGCGGGGAGGGGGGAATCCAGTCCCACCCCTATCACGGCTCTCTGCCGTGACAAGATCGAGAAGTCAGCGAACGCCGCTATGTGTTCGCTCACTTCCCGATCTACTGAGCCGACCTGTGAGTTTCATTGTCACAGGTCGGCTAGAACTATGAGGATGAGTGAAAAGCACTCACCTCATAGTTCTCCTTTTAAGTAATTTTCAGGCCTAAAATGTGGATTTATAACGTGCAAAAAATACAAAATGGGTGTTGTATGTAACATAAATCTGTTTATAAATAGTAGGCTTTCTTTTTAATGATCACAGATTTCTTTTTTCTTTGAGAGGGCTTGTTCACACCAAATGCAGACCAGATCAGCATGAGTTTCTGCACACGCAGTGCAGTGGGTTTTTTCTGCCACGTTTTGTGCCGCGTTTTTGATGCGTTCTGGGCCGTTTTTGGTAAAAAAAATGTTTTTAGTTTAAAATTTGCTTTCAGGGCGTTTGCACGTTTTTTTGATGCGTTTGCATGGGTTCCAGAGCAGGTAAAATTGGGCTTGCTGCAGTTTTTTTTACATGCTCTGGAACTGAACACTGTGGTGTGAACTAGAGTCCAAAATACCATTGGAATATATTGGACGCAGTTTTGATCTGGTCTGTAACTGCTCTGCTGCGCTCCTGGAATGCGCTTGGTATGAACAAGGCCTTAAGGTATCAGATTTATTTCATAATTTGATTTAAAAAAATGGGCTGTTAAAAAGCCACACATTTGTCTGGTCCTCTTAATGAGTGTGTATCTTTATTTTGTGACAGATATAAACTCTTTAAAATGGGATACATTAGTACTGAGAGGTCACAGGCCACAGCCAAGCATCAACGACCTTTTAAAAAACAGCAATCTCTCGCAGAGCCAACGCCAGCACCTAAGTCAGTTCATCAACCTGTGCTGGCATGACAACCCCGCCATGAGACCAACAGCCACTGGTAAGTCCCATATCTGTTTTCAGAATCATTCTGGGTAATGTCACATAGAAATTAGTGCAGTAACCTGATACATGAATTAGAATCTATTTCGTACTGCTCAGTGAATACTAGTTGGTTGTTTTGTATTGCTATACTTGAGAATCAGCACTTAAAGTGTATTTCCACTTTTGCAGTCAAATTTGAGAAAACTCCACTAAGTGTATGTGTTCCTTTTCACACAGCATAATGACAAATATTAAAAAAATATATATTTCTAACCTTTTAGCTGCTTTTTGGTAAAGGCGTTTGTGTAGATTCCAGGCTAATCTGAGCATTTTTATATTAAAAGAAGAGGGATAAACTAAGGAACAGACTAAGCTATCTCCCATTAACATACAATACTGCTAAGTCTTTAACCCTTAACCCTTGTTACAGGGGCGTCCCTAGCCTTTTCGCGCCGCGGCGGAGGGGTGCTGGTGATGCACGCTAACTGGGGGGTCGGGTAGCTTGGCCTTTGCATTATCTTCCCACCCAGCTTTGGCTCCTGCTCTGGCTGGTGTCCCGCTCAGCTCCTGGCAACCAGTGACATCATTGGTTGCCAGGAGCTGAGCGGGACGCTGGCCAGAATGTCCTCGGGTTGTTAAGAACTGAGCAGGGAGATGTGCATGGCCCTTACACATCTCCCACCTGGCTCTTAGCAACTTGGAATGCTCTGGCCGGAAAGGGGGCGGCAGGCACACAGCAAACATTGTGCAGCAGAACATCCAAGCTTCATTATAGGTACGGCCCTGCTTTGTTAGCATAGACAGTATTCAAATCTGTGAAAAAAGATAAAAGAAACAGCGCCTTCTTCTTGCATGAAACCATTTATTAGAACAGAGTGTATAAATCTGACGTTCATTCTACTCACATGTGCAGTCCAGATAACATCAGCAAACAATCCCATTATCAATAACTCAAGTACAGGACAAAAAAGATGAAGAGACCCTTCAGCATGTGATGGTGGACAATAGCTAATGCGTTTCAAGGGTTAAACCGCCTTCTTCAGAGCTTACTGTATATGTTGTCTTTATAAACCTGATTGTTTTCTGATGTTATCTGGACTGAACATGTGAGTAGAATGGACATCTGATTCATGCACTCTGTTTAACAAATGGTATCACATGAGAAGGGTTCTTTTATCTCTTTTAATATACTGGAGGATTTCCATATCCATGTCTGAACAGCTGCCCTTCCTGCTGTAAACGCATGCTAATGAAGGTACCCTTTAGGATCTCTGGTGGCCGCCATCAGTGCTGAAATTGTGGTTTGAGGCTACAGTGTTCAAATCTAGTTTACAACTGATAATTAAATCTGCCAGCACAGTACAGACAGGGTTAATTAGAGTAAACAAAACCACTCACAGTCCCCTCCTTAACATTACATGGGGGAAGCTAGGTGGGAGCTTTTTCAGTATTAAGCACTTAAGAATGTAAGCAGAATTATTTTTTTTTCTTAGTTACGTAATGAGAATGGGAACATGTAACAGGCATAAAACAGGCATTATCCAAATTTGGCTGCAAAAGGGCAAATGCATGTTAAAGCAAACCTAAAGTTAAATACTGACCACAGGTCTGCTGCTGCAACACCATTTTAAAAAATGATCCATTTTGAGCACAAAAATAACTTTTAGCTAATGTCGGCTCTGTGAGGCAGAGCTCTTTATTGGCTGGTCAGGCACAGGCAATCAGTCAGTGCTTTAGGGCTTGTTCACACCAAGCGCGGAGCAGATCCAGAGCAGAGCAGGTGCAGACCTGATCAAAACTGCGTCCAATGTATTCCTATGGTATTTTGAGCTCCAGTACACATCGCAGCATGCAGATCCAGAGCAGATCCAGAGCAGGTGAAAAAACTGCGGCAAGCCCTATTTTACCTGCTCTGGAACGCATCAAAAACGCATGCAAAACGCATGCAAGTGCCTGAAAGCCCATGTTAAACGTAAAAAAATGTTTTTTTAAAACCAAAAATGGCCCGGAACGCATAAAAAACGCATAAAAAACGTGGCACAACCCACTGCACTGCGTGTGCAGAAACCTGACCGGATCTGCTCTGCATTTGGTGTGAACAAGGCCTTAGCCTCCCACAGAGATGCAGAGGATATGGAAGGAGCCCACACTGATGGACAACAAAAAGCAAAGAAAAGGAGAAAGCGCACTACCGGGGGGTCCAAAGTAACTGGAAGGGGTCACTTAGGCTAAGGGTACAGTGTGCAAGCTCTTTGCAAACAGGGAGAGGTACCCTGTGATAACAAAACCAAAAACAACCTATGTATTGAGAGCGCTACTACTGTTGGTATAAGATTATTGAAAAAACTCACATTTGAGAAGTCCTTGGAAATTCTCTGGGGGTGGTTGGATGGAGTCCTTGGGGAAGTGAGGCCCGGTGGAATGCAGTGGTATGGACGGCTGAGAGGATTCGTTTGTGAAGAAGGAGCAGCTTTCTCACGGCGGGACTCAGCTGGCCAGGCTGAGCCATAGCGGCCAGAAGTGCTCTGTAGAAAGATACTGTGTGACACGTGCTGTCAGCGGTCGTCTCTCAGTCGGAGGGTTTAGGAGATGTAACGGTGATGGCATTGAGAGTGTGCTCTCCAAGTGTCACCGGCAAACAGTTGCCGGTGATGTGTAAGGGGTAGATCGCTACGCGTTTCGAGGCGAAGCCTCTTTGTCAAGCTCAGGTGAAGACTTCAGACCTCTTAATTTTAAAATGTCGATCTGGGTTTTGGAGGTCCAGAAATGAAAGTAGGACTAAAGAGGCATGTAAATGTAAGTACATGCATGTTTTTCATATGTACATTTTGTGCTGGGGGATAATTGAGGGGGGACTGCTTTAAATGTAAACTGTTTTATTGCTTGTAGTTATGGCTATTTTATGTATTTTTTTATCCTCAGAATGTCTGTCCAATCTGCGTCACATTCTGCAGACTTTTTCTGTTGAGGAGAGTAAGCGTGAAATGGATAATTTTGTTAATAAAAAGGTGAGAGATCTGTTTTTAGGTGTATGTAAACCCGAAATCTGTTTTTTTTCAGTATGTTTGGCACCATGCCTCACTCAATACAGTTTCGTTAAGCAAATTCTTTTAATGCATCTGATGCAGAGTTTCTTACCTGAAGATCCTTCCAGTAAGAGCATTTTTGTTGCAGACTGACAAGGCAAAAATGATGTCTTGCAATTAGCAGTAGCATTGCCAGCCTGCCGTGTGAGGTCCTTCAGTTGGCCAATGAGCTGCCTATCTGACAGATGGACCAATGGCCAATTGAAGGAGTGCACCATGCTAATGCAAATTTTGAGGCTATGGTTTAGCATTGTAAGGCTGCAACAGAAAGTGCAGTTGGTGGCAGGATCTCCAGTGGCATTTCCAGCCTGCCATGTGTAGTCCTTCAGTTGGCCATTGGGTTATCACATCTATCTGATAGACATCCCAAGCTCTTGTTGAAGGAGCTCGGCTAGTTAAAGGTACTCAGCAAGTATGGCAAGTAAAAAATGCTGCTGCTAATTATAAGGCACGGGAATAGCATTGTCATTCTATTGTATACAATATCTGGTTGGGAAGATTCCCCAGGTGTATGGCTACCTTTTAAGCGTATTTCCACTTTTGCAGCCAAATTGGGATAACTCTTATTTTATATTTGTTACATGTTCACATTCATGTAGCATAACTTATAAAAAAAATTATAAACCACTGCTTACATATTACTTGATTTCTCATATTACTAGTTTTCTCTAAACTGAATTTTCCTCTTGAATGCAATGGGGCTGGGAAGGTTATCCTTAATGAACCCTGTCTCTACTGTGCTGGCAGATCTCATTATCAGTTGTAAATACTGCCCGTCCTAACAAAGGGTTAAAGATCTAGGAGAACTGTTTGTTAATAAGATAAAGCTAAAAATGCCCCTGGTCTTTCGGCCCCTAGTCTTTTATGAGGACAGCAAGAGTTTCCTGTCACTGTGAAATGGTACAGAGAAGCTTGCAGTCTCTCCTGAGGCCTGCTTCACAGGAATATCTGAAAGATAAGATTTATTTTTTTCAAATTGTTGTTGTGTGTGCTGTGAATAGGGTGTGCTGGGTTTTCTCAAATTTGACTGTTAGTGGAAATACCCTTTTAGGGGTCTATTTATAACCCATTTGCAGAGCCAATTGCTCTATGAACCTTTCTGAACATTCAGTCAGTGTCAATAGACACAGAAAGAAATGTTCTTGATATATGTTCTTGTCTGGTTGAATGTATGCAATGTAATACTGCATTTTGCCCAGTAGATGGAGCTGAGGAGCATAGGAAATACATACCTAAGCCCCACCAAGTGTCCATAATGCAGAATTACATTGCATGCTTTCAACCTGAAAGGAAATATATCTAAAGGTGCCCATACACCTTATAATTATCTGGAGATTTTTGTCTGCGTTTGCGTTTTCGGCCGCAAATCTGCCAATTGATGGGGAGTGTACTACCACAATTAATGTACAGCTGGCAGATTTTCATCTTTCAAGCAGCTAGAAAACGTTTGTCTAGTTGGATGAAAATTGACAGGTTAGTGGCGTTGTTGTACAATAAAAATCTCAAGATGCAAACTGCACATACTCAAACCAAAATCTGTCCTTTCGATCTATGAAAATGACGAACGTTAATTACGAACTACATTGGTCTGTGCATGATGGGCTAGTTGTAAGAAAATTGAATGAGGGTGAGATGTCTGGACAAAAACAAATCTTCAGAAAGATTTATAGGGCAAAAGGCTTCGCAATTTGGTTATAAATGGAACCCTAAGAGGTTCAAGCATTCCTAGGCCATGACAACAGCTGATTAACTATAAATGTGGGAAACTCCCTTTCATTTATTATTTGTAAATGGTTCTTAGAGTAAAAAAAATTAAGGCAATGAAAGCAAATAATATGAAAATGAAATGCATAACTATAAAGGCGTATAACATAGAGAAAACATGGATGTAAATAAAGCTCAGCACATAGGAGACCCGGAATGTGAATGCTGGTGTTTAGAATTCAACAACGTTTGGTTTTGGCCAGTACAAGGAAGTTATTATCTACTGCAAACTTCTGCACCTGCAGCCACACAGGTGGCTTATTATTAACTAATGTTCCATAAGTCTGAGAAGAGGACATTCCGTAAAACTCACTCGGTCTGCCAACTATTTTCTATTGTTGTTAGTTTGAATTTACAGTTGGATTGTTATTAAAGCTGCTATGCCAATCCTCATTAAACTAAAGACAGAATTACTTCTTTTACATTGAAAATGTCTCGTAAATATCCAAGAAGTACAAATTATTTTATTTTCTGCAGACATTAAGATAATCTCCGTAGATTAGCTGTGTTTGTGTTTCATAGAAAAAAAGAACAATGCAAAGCTTGGTGAACTTATAGAAGGTTTAAAGAAGAACTCCAGGAATTTTTTTGGAGAGGGTTAATTGCTCATTTGTGTCTAGGTTCAGGATCTGAAAGAAAATATAAGTATGTGTACCTGGCTTAAGAGAAGATATAATTTTGCTTTGGAGAGATCTCTGTTTAATTCCGGTTGTGTCTAAGGGACAGAAAATGAAGGGAAATCTCTCTCTCCTCACCGCTCGGCCTGAAGTGACAGCGCTCCCTCCACCACCCCTCCCCTCACTGGCTTCAGCGGTTCACTTCTCCTCCGATCCCCGCTGCCTCTGCCCATACAGGTGGGGGAGAGCAGTGGGGATCTGAGGAGAAGCTGCAGGCTGTGCAGCCCCTCTGTGCATGGCCAAGTGGCTCAGGAGCTCAGGATGGAGAGTGGAAGGATCCATATATATCTGTCATATTTACCAACCCTCTGTGTACATAACTGGGGACACATAGTACTACGTGTCCCCAGTTATGAATGAACAGGAAGTGCTTTACATTACTTCCTGTCCATTCATGAGTTTCTGAATAGATAGTAGCACTCTGTACAGAGGCTTCTCCCCATTCAGAAACTGGTTGACAGTAAATATTTTCTGAATGAATGGGAAGCCTCTGTACTTTCTATTCATTTAGAACAGAGTCTGCAGAAAAAGAGATTGAGGACTCGGGAAGCTCCCCCCCAACAGTAAAAAAAATAAAAAAAATAAAAAATAAAAAGGGGTGATTCACCCTTACTAGAAAAGTGAGAATTAATGAATAAATATACAATAAAAAAATAGGGTAAAAGTGAAACTTTATTAAATAAATGTGCTCCAAGAAAAAGTAATACTAAATAAATATCTCAACAAGAAAGTTACACTCCATCTATACAGTATGTGCTCTCCATTCAGTTTTTTATGAAAGCTATATATTTATTGGAAGGAGAGCACTTATTTATGGAGTGTAACTTTCTTGATGACATATTTATTTTGCATTACATTTATTTAATGACTTTTCACTTTTAACATAGATTTAGTGTATATTTATTCATTTATTCCCACGTTTTAGTTATTTCTTGTAATTTAAAGTTTATTATCATTATAGATATTTATAGCAGTAGCATATACATTTATTAGGATAGTGCTGAGCATTTAATTTTTTTTTTAAATGAGCTATGTTGAGCTAAAGTTTTACTTTAAATTTAGTATATATGCAGGGCATGCTGAGGCTGGATTTATTGGCTCACTTTCATATTTCAATAATATTACATTTTGCATAATATAACTATAACTATAAAAGTAAGACCATTAGCAAGACATTACAAATGCTGATTGCAATATCTTTTTCTTCCAGGAGATGGCAATGCAGGACTCCCAGTCCCAGACACGCACAGTGGAATTTCACATCAGATACCTAGACGTAAGTAGTTAGAAAACAGATTCATCTAACTGTGCAGGTGAAAAATTACTTTTATTCAGTATTGTGTCTTATTATTGTTATTGTTAATATTATTATTATGTCTTTATTTTGTCTTTATTATTATAAAAAGGCAAGTATTTAAATAAATAAATACAATTACCATAAATACACCCTCAGACAAAAAAACAAACTGAAAAACACACTCTCTAAAAATAAAAACTTTTATTTTTTTTTGTGTTTTACCCCCATATATAAGGACATCTATAGTAGTACAATACAATCACAATTGTACTTAGAATTGGTTGCCATTGATCTCAAGTTTGATCAAATATTTCTTGTATGGCCTTAAAGTGTTTGTGAAGACAAAACTTTTTTTATTCATAAAGTTTTGTATAGCGTGTGGAACGATTAGATCCCCTCATGGATTTTTTGCTGTGTATGTCACCACTAAAGAGATTCACCCTCATTATTGGCCTTGATGACCGTTGACTTTGGTACAGAAAATTATGGGAATCCTAAATGTTTGAGTGTTGTCACAGAAACAGGAAGTGAGGGGAGATCTCCCAATGTGGAAATCTGTTCTGGTGACAACTGTCTAAAACCGGGGATACACTTTCCAAATTTTGGCTGCCGGCACCCTTCCTTCTGGCATCCATCAAAAAGCTGATCGAAGAAGCTAGTAGGAAAATTCTAGGCCAAACAGAGATTAGTCAATCAGCTGCTAGCTCGGTTTGGGTATCTTGATAGCGGCACTCAGGATTCAATGCAGACATCAGGGGATGCGTCCATCAACGCTCGTGAGCGTTGATGGAGGAATCGGCTGAACGAAGAAAATATAAGTATGTGTACCCGGCTTAAGAGAAGATATCATTTTGCTTTGGAGAGATCTCCGTTTACTTCCGGTTGTGTCTAAGGGACAGAAAATGAAGGGAAATCTTCCTGACAGGAAACAAGGCAGAACAGATGTATTATAGTGGACCTTTACACTCAAAAATCAAATTCTACCAATGCATCCCTCTATTTATAATGATTAATAATAACAGACATATTAGGTGTAAAATGCTGTGATTATGAAATACTTACACTTGCACAGCATTCACTTCCTGCCTTGAAAGTGCAAATGACTTCAGTTTGCCAACGCAATGCACGCTGGGATTGCCTTGTCATCAGCAGAGTATTGCTGGGAAATCTCATCTGTAATCTCACGAGGTCTCAGGGAAAGGCATTTTCCTCCCCTGAGATGATGTGCATGGTCACATGTCCTAGTCACATGTGCCAGAAATCCAGGAAGTAATGGAGCTAGTAATCTGCCCTTAGTAAACATGGCCACTGTCAGACGAATGGGGAAGAAAAGAGAAATAAGGTATGCAAAGAATACAAAGCCGGCAATTATCTAATAGTATGTGTTTATAGATTGTCATTACTAAACATTTCTAAAGGGGTGTTTGTTATTTTAAGATATAGGAAAGGTCTGCTTTAACCATTACCTACTCTAACCAGAACTAAAAAAAAAAACATTTTCCCTTTTACATACACTTTCTGGGTGGAATCTCCTGTTATTAGGGCATCTTCTCATTATACACAATGTACCTGATAATTTTTCACCTTAATGCAAAAGATCGAGGAGGTTTCCAACATCTCCGCTACATGCAGTACACTGTAGCATTTCACTACTATATGTGCCAGATCATGTTGATTCCTCATTGAAGAGATTGTACTTGCAGATTTATTTGTTCATGTTTGCTACAGGAATATCTTAACAATGCTTGTGTTCTCTACTTGCATTAAGGATCATAGTCATCTGTTTGTTTGTCTTTTTGCAGGATAGCTGGTTAACAAGCAATAGGAATAGAACTCAGAGTGCACCTGAGGAGGCCCTTGAAGTATCATCATTTTGTTCTGGCAAAAAAGAAAAACGCAGTGGTAAGAGTACAAAGTAAAACCGTGATTATTTACCCATAAATGTATCAAATGCCTCCTGGAACCTCTACATGTTACTGATGTGGCTTATGCTGGACCAGGTGCTTCTCATATCCTCTGGAACTTATGCTGCTGTGCATCTGCAGCTTTTTTCCTTGACAACGGAGCTCCACATGTGCAGTATGACGGCTCTGTGCAGAGGTGAGCAGCGTACAGCAGAGGCTGCAACATCAGTAGCCAAGGATTGGCTTATTTGAGGTGTGTGTTATTATTTATTGGGGGAATCAGAAGGGTGAAAGGGGACAATTGCATGGGTACGGAATTTTAAATTTCTTCTTACACATATACTATAAAATACTTCTACTTCTACTATTCATAAACAGCGAGCAAGTATATCGCTTGCTGAACTAAGCTATGACAATTGTTTTTCCATGCTATCTACCCCTAATCCTGAGCTTGAAAGACTGTCAATTCTGCTGCTGGTCAGTGCAGTGGCCAGTCAATTGCAGTGGAGGAACATGTTGCCCCTGCCAAGCAGAAGATATGCTTGCTTGTGTTTTGTACATTGTAAATGTATTTTCTGAAGATGTTTAAAGCCCAACTCCAGCTTCAGTGAAAAATAAAAAATACTGCTTTTGTCGCAATGCTCACCTTCTCTCTGCTCTGTCCACTGGTAAATGCTCCTCTTCTGGGTTCAGTGACACCCAGCATCATTTAACTACTTCCTTTTAGCTAAGGATGTCAATGACACAACCACTGAGGGTGCATCATCATGCAGCCAGGGCAGGGCTGAATTTCCCACAGGCCACTGAGGCAGGGAGCAGAGGGTCGGCACAGCTGCTGGGCGGGCAGTTTTTTTCCACTCATTCTCCCTCTCTCCCCGCTGGCCGCCTCCCTCCATGCCATGGTTTTTGGGGGGCCCTGCACTTCTGCGGGACCATGGCCCATTCGTTCAGGATGGAGGGCGGGGAGCAGAGCTGAGAACATTCGTTCTCCGCGCTCTGCTCCATGTTAACACTGAGATGTGAACACTGCACTCGCAGCCTTCCCATCTCAGCTGTCATAGGAGAGCCAGCACAGTGCTTAAAATAAGTAGAAAAATAATTTAAAATAATAATTAAAACATTTAAAAAATAAAAAAAGTAAAAAATTATAGAAAATAAAAAAGTAAAAGATAAGATAAAAAATTAAAAAAGTAAAAAATATAAATAGAGTGATAATTAAAAAAAAAATAATAGCAGCTGCTAGCACCATTTTTGAGTATTCCGACAGCAGCTGGTGGAAAAAGTGGGGGATTCATTCTTCAACACTTGTAAGTGTTAATGGAGGAATCTGTCCTATTGTTTCGTTCAGCCCACGGTTTTAGGCTTCAGACTACTGTATGTCAGCATGTATTCTCTTTGTGTTTGCAATATGAACCCTGTTATTTTGATACGATGTACAGAAAGATTGGATTTTGATTGGACTAAAAGTTTTGGTATGTGCATAGTCTTTCAAAGAATAGAAAAATAAATCATGGGCGTTCAGTCTTTAAGTACATGAATACTATGAGAAATGGATTGAGTGACACAATTAAGTCAGTCTAATGCCACCTCAAACAGACCTCACCCTTAACAAACACTTGCTCTTTACTTAGAGACATACGCAACTTCATTTTAAAGCGGGCTTGACATACTTAACACAGAACTTGTCAAAACAAACCTGTGTTAGTACATTACAACATCACAACAAGACATTCTAAATGCATTGCTGTTGTTAATGGTGTGCTCTAATACAGGAGAGCATTGTACTGGATGATATTGAATGTGCTATCTTTCATTATTTAGGGTGCCTGACACAGGGTGGTGAGTGGTTTGAGGTTTGCACCAAAGACCATTTCCCTAGAAATTAACATATACCCCTGGAATGGGTTTCATTTGATTTGCAGGGCTCTGGTTGCAAACAAAATACAAGGATGATTAGGACGTTAGCATTTCCTCTGTAGCTTGAAAATACATTATTTCTAAATGGGTGTACTCTAATACCCTACTGTAAGATAGTACCATGAAAGAAACACTTTGAGGGGAATTTATCAAAACTGGAGCAGACAAAAACTGGAGCAGCTGTGCATGGCAACCAATCAGCTTCTTTATTTTATTTTCAAATCTTAACTGAACAGAATAGAGAGAGAGAAGTTGATTGGTTGCCATGGGCAACTGCTCCAGATTTTGTCTGCTACAGTTTTAATAAATCCCCACCCCCTTTATGTTTGAAAGAAATCATTCTACCTCAAAGGTGGTATTGCTATTGTTCCCAGTGAACGAACACCCATGGCAATGAAAACCTGACCCATACACCCATGGCAATGAAAACCTAACCCATACATCCATACACCCATGGCAATGAAAACCTAACCCATACACCCATGGCAATGAAAACCTAGCTCATACACCCATACCAATGAAAACCTAACCCATACATCCATACACCCATGGCAATGAAAACCTAACCCATACCTCTTATCTAAAATTAAATAAAGAATGTTGGCTGGAGTTGGGTTTTAATATATATTTGTGACACTTACTGGTTCTTTCTGGTTTTGAAATTCACCCATTTATATTTCTTGCTTAAACAAATTATTTTCTTGGGAGATACCCAGTTGCTGTTCCAGATAGATTTGGTTTCCTACTTTCCAATACATTTTTTCCCCAGTTTGCTTATTTCAGTCTATACGCTATACCAGGGGTTTCAAATCCAAACTTACTAAGGGCCATGTGGAGGGTTGTGAATAAAATCAGGGCCAGACACAAAGGAAAAAAATAACCCTTCTGCTTGCTGCATTACAAAGTTTGGGCCCACTAATCATTATATGACAGCCCTGGGGTCCTGTGTGTGAGGGCACTACAATTGTCAGCAGCCCCTGTCCATTAAGTGTTAAACAGGACACCAGTATTGTCATATAATGGACAGGGACTGCTGACACTTGCACACAGGACACCAGGACTGTCATATAATGATGATCTGACTGTCCTGTGTGCAAGGGCACTACAAGTTTCAGCAACCCTTGTCCATTATGACAGTTCTGTGTATGAGGGCACTACAAGTGTTGGCATTCCCTGTCAATTAAATGGAAAAATAACAATTTCCATGTGGTACAGCTACTTTATCCATGACTGTAGCTGCCACTGCATACTCTAGACGGTCCCTTGCTTCTTTTCCCAAAATCACATTTATTCATTTGGACAGAGGTGATTTATCATTGGGACTCCTAATAAATGACCTCTCTATAGGAATGAATAGAAATTGGATTGGCTGGAGAGATTTGTAAGAGATAACAACAACAACAACAACAACAACAACAAAAGCACAGCACAGAGAAAGAGACAAAAAATGACTGGAAGGTAGATAAGTAACAGGAGTCATAGGTAAGAAAGGGGAGAAGGAAAGGAACACAGAAAAGGTATAAGGAGAGGGAAGAGTGAAGTTAGGGTGTCCCTACACACTCTTTAACTGAAGATAGATGACTCAAGTAAAGAGAGCTTGAAATGCATCCAAATGTTTAAAGTCAAGCCAGGCTGCCCATATATTTCCAAAACGTTCCATGTCATTTGCACCTGCAGCCATCATTTGTTCTATCCGCTCGATGTTGTTGAGTGCTTCCAACCATTCCGCCAGAGTAGAGACTGGCTTGGATTGCCAATGTTTAGATCAGATCAGATCTGGCAGCTATGAGAAAAAATCTCAGAGCTGACTTTTTCACTATTGATAAAGATCCTGGGATCATTGATAAAAAACACAGGATCACGGACAAGAGAGTCAATTGTTGAATATTGTTAAAATTGGATAAATAGCAACTAATGTAGATGGTCAGTATCTTGTCCCAGAAAACTTTGATAAGAGGCCCACCAAATCAACAGTTTGATAAGAGGCCCACCAAATATGCACCCCTTTACCTCCAGAGCATCTCCAGCAGGTGCAGGAACACAGGGGAAAATCTGATGTAAATTGAAAAGGCAAAAATACCATCTGGTTAAAATGTAATAATTTTGCTCCTGAGCCCTGATACCCATGATACAGAATTTATCAGTATTGTGCTTTTTGTGTTTGCGTTACAAAGTAATTCAAAAGGCCTGATGAGGGAAGATATTGTGGACCCCTAAAACGCATTGACTGTTTTGTTCAATTGATCTTTATTAATAAAATATCATATTGTATTCCAGTAGCAGTGGCGCCCCAATCTGTTCTCATATTGGTTTCACTTGAGAATCCCTCTCCTAGTCTGGGAGCCCCTTGTTTTGTGTGGGAGCAGCACTACCAAGAATGTTTAATACTCTAAAAAAGAGAATCCCTGACAAATGTAGGATTCTGAAAGCATGACTATCTAGTACCTATTTATTAAACCTAGTGATCATGTTTCAGTCCGCTATAATGCTAAAGGCCTGCTTTAGCATGGGGGTTTCTTGGTCTACACTAGATGCGCCAGATTTTTTGGTCTGATACAGAAGTTGGCCCATAAAAATCCATTTGTGATAATCAGTATAGCCATTAGCTAGCAATACAGGAACTTCTTAAATTCACATTGAAAACAAAAAGAGAAAATATCCTAATATTATGAAAGTTTACTGATGATTTTTCTTGACCAAAGTTATATATTTATGCCTTGTGACCTTCAGAATTCAATTTTAAATGAAAGTATATTTATTCAGCATTCTGTAATTTGGCTGCACCTGTGCATGTGTCTGACTGCAGAAGATATTTTCGAAATTAGTGGGGGGTTCTGTTACATTTTACAGTAAAAACATCTAACCTTAATCTAATAAGTATTTCACATGGGTTCACTGTACTTTACCCTCTATTACTCAGCCAGCCTTCCAGTTACAAGTGCTAGTAATGGTTGTCATATGCCTACAATGGGACCTCATCCAACAACAGCATGGAACTATGGGGTCAGTTGGACACATGTGGAGCCAGGTAAGAACTCAAGTTTCCAAGAATATAGACAGAGCATTTTAAATCTCAAGCCCAGGGTACTGGATGTTGGCTTAAAAAGAAAGGGTATTTGAAGGTAAAATAAGAAATAAAATGCGGGATGCTGACTCAGGAAAAAGGGGTCTTTTAAGGTACAATAAGGAAAAAAAGTGAACAAGACATGGGGAGAAAGAGCCCGTAGAAACTAACCCTGCCGTAGCTGTCATTCCTGCAGTATATTTCAGTTAGAAAACGAAAAGCAATATGTTATTGGCTGTTGGGCTGCAATATTATTTTCAACTTGTGTTATACTTGCTCCAAAGTGCCCATATGTGTAAGATGCCAGAACAACCTTTTATTTTCAAAACTGTGCTGATGACTTCTAGAATTGCTAGCCACATTTTACAATATAATAGACCCCCCTAAGAACCCATTTAGATTATACAATAGACAGTGCAAGCAGTAAAGCACAAAGTGTAGTACCCATTGCCACCAATCAGAATCCAGTGGTATGGTGTCAGTCATTGGATGAGTTCTACACTAAGGCCATGACTGTGCACAATCCAGTACCCCTTAGCATACAACCCCGTTTTAGTTTACTGTAGGCCTATGAGGTCAATACATTTTACACGGCCTTACTGGCACTACTGTCGACGTCCACCCCGCTAGCTGATTGACAGCAGGCTCTGACTATCTAGAGGCAGAGCCAGCTATGCCCGCCCCAGTCAGCGCTGGAGAAATGGAGAGGGGAGGTGGGGAACCCCAGTGGGGAGTGGTGACTGAGAGTCACCACTCTCTGCAGGCAGAGGACCGGGAAGTGAGCTAGCGGCGGTATGTTTTTGCTCACTTCCCGATCTATAGAGTTTCACACATCGGTTCTACCTATGAGGATGAGTGTAATTTACCCCAGAGTTCTCCTTTTAAGTGGACAGTCAGATGTGCAAGCATTTTGGACACGCAAGTGCATGCTTGAGTCTCCATTGCACCCCTAATCATGCCTGTTTGCGCAATATAAAAGGGAGAAGAATTGAGTGTCAAACAGCAGCCTTGCTAACTTTTCTAAGGGGGGATTGATAGTGATTGTACAACATTTTACACCCTTCCCCCATTATTCGTCACCAGCCAGTGTCTGCTGCTGCCATAGCCAATGGACAGTTTGAAAAGCAATCTCATGACAACCTTCTGGATTCCGTTACTGTTTACAGAGTAAAGCTGACTGTTCCATAGAGACATTGTGTACATTTTTGTTTGGTTTGTGTATATGCACATAGAAAAAAACACCCTGGTCACTGTAGGTTAGTGGAACTGTATTTATGTACAGCTTGCATTCTTTATGGAATTTGAGGGTCACCAACAATATTGGTCAATTAAGTCAAAGCAACAGCGTCCAGAGACTGTACCCTAAACACCTTGGGCTTTCAAAGGTTCAACATAAAAGCATACTTTTCTCTCACAGGCCTCATTAGAATGGTAACATGATGATGTCAACAGTTAAGCTGCTATGGTATCACTGATATTTGTACTTGAATGCTTTTTAGCAGGGCTCACCAGAAAGCCTATACATCTGCTGTAGTAATGACAATAGATGGTTCCTGCAGTCTCAGGGACCTGAACAGTGTGAAGTTCCATCACCTGCAGACACAAACGTTCTCCAGTGTCCTCATAAAGTTAGCAAACTAAGTTATGTGAGTAAAAAATATATCTGATGTATTTCCTTGCAACTGAAATGCTCATTCTATTAAAGGAGAACTATGAGATGAGTGATTTCCACTCACCTCATAGTTCTAGCCGACCTGTGACAATGAGACTGTCACAGGTCGGCTCAGTAGATCGGGAGGTGAGCGAACACATACCAGGTTCGCTCACCTTTCGATCCTGTCACGGCTCTCTGCCGTGACAGGGGGAGGGCTGGATTCCCCTCTCCCCGCTCCGATCTGCCAGCGCTGACTGGCGGAACGGATGAGGGAGGGGGCGGGTACAGCTGGCTCTGCCTCTAGATAGGCAGAGCCAGCTGTCACTCACGCAGCTGGGCGGATCCTGTCATCAACGTCGGGATCCGCTCCGGCGTCTCAGTATACCGCAAGCTGTAGCTCGCGGTATACTGAGCTTAGGGTAACGAGAGGACGCTAGTTTGTGTCCTCCCGTTACCCTAAGGAGAACTATGGGGGAAAACACTGACCCCATAGTTCTCCTTTAATGTCATTTTACACATTGCGTGGTTTTCTTGCCTTTTGATGCCCTTTTTTAGTTGTTAAAAGCTGTTCATTCCTTTTCAGATCATTCCACCCGTCCTCAACTTTTCCAGTGTAGAAATTGTGTTGAAACCCTGAGGAAAAGCCGAGAGGTTTTGTTAAGCCGCATCACAGAAGGGCATCTTAACCAACTTATGGACACCATGAGGTCCAAACTTGTGCTATCCAAAGATGATGCAGAAAATATTAATGCAGAACAAACTCTGAAAGCCAAAATAAGGAAATGCATTGAAACCTGCTGCGAAAAGGGAGCAGAGGCCTCTCGGATGGCTTTGGACAGTTTCCTCCCCCGAAAAATCATTCATGTGCATCCTACAAAGCCAGTCCGGCAATAGGAATACCCATCATCGTTGTCCTATACGTTTCACGCTGAATCAGAGTTTATTAATCATGCTTGGACCAATGTCTAAACACTGCATAGATTGGGCATATATAAAAAAACTGTGGCATTTGCTAGACTGACCCATGGCTGAAGACCATCCATACATCTCACTTCCAGTGTGAAAATGTTGTGGAACTGATGCTCCACTTATAGAATCTGCAAAAGAGAGAGAGGTGTAAAGTTGTGTAAACTTTCAGTCACATTTACAGTAAATCCCAGAGGGCCATTTTTTCCTATTCAGTTGTATAGGTTTAACATGCCGCTTTCGTTTTTCAGTGATAGTGTATATAGACTTGAGAAGAGAAGAGATTATATGCCTTTTTTTATTGGTATTCTCTTTAGGCAGACGCACAGTTCTAGAGTTTATGATGAACATTCAGGTTTGGCATAAATATTAAACATATGGGGTCCATTGCCTCCAGTGTAGGGTACAGTGCTACATACATACATAGGCTGCAATGCCTCATGCTTAAAATAAGTATAGCATCAGTGCAGATGGTGTACATTGCTGTATTCTGGGTGAGGGTAAAGTTCCTCTTCCTTGCATGAATTGCAGGCCCTCCTCCTTAGGTGGAAATGGTGCCTTATTCAGAGGTTGATAAGTCTTGCTCGTGGTAGAAGTATACTTACTGTATATGAGATGTTCTCATACTTCCTGCGGTGTCTGAGACAGGAAGTGAAGAGAAATCTCCCTGGGACACAGACAGAAAAAAAAAACCCAGGAGGGGCTAAATATTGTCTACTCTATGCAAAACAAAACAAACGTTTTTGTTTCACATGCACTATGAATTGTATAATATAACATTGTAAAGGTTGACTGGTATGTAACCTTGAATATTAATGTCTTTTTTGGTATGCAGTTCTCATTAATGTAATGTTCTGTTCTGATATTGTTTTTTCTAGAGTATCACTACATAATTACTAAGGCTGTTCAGTTCAAAGAAAGGTGTACAAGGTTTTTAACCTTGTGGCTGTTCCAAGGCACTTTGCTCTGTATCTTTATGTATATTGAATAGTATTTTTCAATTATTTACACATTCTATCATGCTACCAAATAAGAGGAGAGTATTGAGATGGATTTGCCGGAATTAATGGTAGAGCCGGGCTGCTCTCTTGTTAACTGACACTTCACTTGCAAATTAGGGGGTTATTCACAAAGCTAGCCGAAGGATCAGCCGAAGCTTCGGCTGATCCTTCAGTTAGCTTCGGTTGAGGTAACCCTTCGGTTCAGTCGAATCGAAGGGCTGCTGTAGTGCCTATTTACTAAAGCCCGTACAGCTCCCGAAGGCGGCCGAGTGGCACAGCCGAGCCGAAGGCATATGCTTTGGCTCAACTGAGCCGCAGTGACAGCCGAAGCGGTGTGAACGGCCGGCCGAAGGCATCGCAAATGACAGCTGGGTGGAGCCAGCCATGATCTCTCGGCTGGCTACGCCCAGTTGTAATGACAGATCAGCGTACCCAAAAGACCTGGGGGACGCTGAACTGTCATTAAGCAATGGAAACTAGGCGGAGCCGGCCTTGATGTCACAGGCCGGCTCCGCCCAGTTGTTCATTGGCCGGGACCTGCTAGAGTGTTGCCCAATAGGAAACAGTTGGGTGGAGCTAGCTGTCACTGCTAGCTCCGCCAAATTGGTTTTTTTTTTCTTTTTAAAAAAATCTTTCTTTTTTAAAATTTATTCACACTTTAAAACTATTTTGTTCAACTTTTATTTTTATTTTATTTTGACTTTTTACACTATTTGCTATTCTGCTCGGTGCCTCGGAGGTACCAAGCAGAATAGCCGAGCCGAATGCAGCTTGAACGGCAGCGAGTAAGCTTCCGGAGCTTCAGTTCAGTCGATCCAGATGTTGGATTGGCTGAGTCGAAGTCCTTCTGCAGTTCGGCTGACCGAAGTGCAGCCGAAGCCACCCGATGTAAGGCTGAAATCAGATGTACTGAGCAGCTGTGTAAATAACCCTGTAAATCTTTTCATTTTTACAATTAAAACCTAGAAGAAACAACGTCTTTCCCAATAAGAAAACTTTTAATTGCTTAAACTGAAAGCTATAGGTCTGACTCAGCAGGGAATGTGTAAATGCTCTGCAGAGAGACCACTGCTTCCACAAAGCAAGGGTCCTTCTGTACAGCATGCTGGCGGTGGATGGACTTTTCTACTGTTATATTATCTGTCAATCAAATGTACTGCTGTGTGCACATTGGGTAGAATTTCCCTCATTTTTGCAGGGTGTCTCTTGGACAACACGTGAGGGTAAATCTCCCAAACATGGACATTTAAATACCGTTTATCGGTATGCGTACCGATATTTTGCTTTCGGTACTCGCCGATACAGAGTACCGATACCAGTGCTTCCACTGGTATTGAGCCGGCTTCCCGGGCAATCAGGAATCCAGGCGGCGGGTAATAGCATGCCGCCCGGCTTCCTGATTGCCAGAGAAGCCGGCTCCATGCTGTTTGGCTGGCTTGATTGTGATTGGCCGGGAAACTGGCTTCCCAGCCAATCAGGAAGCTGGGCGGCGAGTAATGACCTGCGAGTAATGAGCTGTTCGGCTTCCGGCTTCCCAGTTAATCAGTAAGGCGCCGGCTGTTCTGTCAGCAAAATGCTGATTGGACGGGAAGCATTCTGAGCATTTAATACTCGTTACTAGTATTGGTGCATCCCTACTTTTTATAATGTACAGGTACATTATACGACTAGTAACAGTTGATCTATGGTTTGTTTCATATTTAATAATAATAATCCAGAAATTGTCAGGTTGGGTTATTTTAACAGAAGGAAAAATGTTCTTCGATGAGAAAGATGTATAAACTGACTCTTATAGAGCTATAATGTATCCTAACAGGGATTTTAGTAAAGAGAAAATGTTGCACATTGTTTTACTACACAAAGAAGCTGATTTACTAATGCAATTGAGAATCTTCACACAATAAATAGTCTGAACACTACCTTCTATCATCCAATCATGTTCCTGTTGACTTTTATGCTGAGTCATGTGTAAATGAAAGAAGTAAAAAGGAGATTGCTTTGAATGGAAAATTGAAGTGAATCTTCACTTAATTTATTGTGTACAGATTCTCAACTTCTTTAGGAAATCAGCCTCAATGCATCATGGACACACAGATGAATTTTGTTTCAAGTAAGCTTGTGTAGCTTTCACATCTTGTTTTCATTATTCCATATTATATATAATCAATATATTTATGCTTTGTTACGTACTAGATATAATCAATATACGTTCATTATTTGTCTATTTTTGAAAGTTTTAGCCCTCACTCACACGAGAAACAGCCGGCACGTACAGCTCCGCGCTGCGTGCACGGCCGTATCGGTCAGCTCCCGGGAAGGACAGGTGCTGTGTGTGATTAGTACGCAGCCCCTGTCCTTCTCTTTGGGACTACACGGCCATACTCTCCCCTACGCTCCCCTCAAGTGCAGGTCCGTGCGGGTGCGTGTTTCCTGGCTCGGGCGCAGTACGCTGACCCGCACCCGCGTGCTGGGCGGGTGAGCGTAGGGCAGCGTACGGCTGCGTAGTCCCATAGAGAAGGACAGGGGCTGTGTACTAATCACATGCAGCACCTGTCCTTCCCGGGATTGGCCCGATACAGCCGTGCATGCAGCATGGAGCTGTATGTGCCAGCTGTTTCTGGTGTGAATGAGGGCTTAAAGCGGAAGTAAGAGTTATAAATTGCTAGGATGTAATTTTTGGCAGAAGAGACATGAAAAAAATCTTCCTCTCTCTCAGTGATTTTATTTTTTTGTGTACACTGTATGGTGCATGCCTCTAAGATGCTGTGAATTGGCCAGGTGCCGGGGATTTTAACTCCTGTGCACATATGCACCCAATGGCCAAAAAGAACGTCTGAGAACCCAGTGAGCGGCGGAAATGGTTTTGGGGGACATCGATGAGAACAGAAGGTCGATCCAACAGTGCTGGAGGAGGGCACACTGTTAACGCCCTAATGTGCACATATGTTAACCAATCAGATGTTATCTTTCCAAGATCAGTTTACTTAGACTAATCAAATATGATCTGATATTAGGCTGCTTTGGATATTGCAATCTCTGTTTTATGTGTATGTTACTGAATAAAATCCTTTTGCTTGTGGACATTTTAAGGTTGGTAGAACCAATTAGAATAAAAGCTGCCAAATTGATGTGACTGTAGAATTAATGTAGATGCCTTAGGGAACACTTTTAACATGAAACAGAGTTCAGATATTGTCATGACAGCAGTGACCTGAGGGGTTTAGTAGATTTAACCTTAATTCATCCCTTCCTTTGACACATGGACAACACTTCCCTAACAAAAAAAATAATTTTGGATCTCATACTATCCTTAATTGGAGCATTGCACCATTGTTCACACATATTAACGAGACTCTGTTAGGGCCAGTTCACACCACGAAGTCTGCGTTCCAGAGCATTCGGCATCTAGAACGCAAGCTGGCTGACTCCCTGCTTTCAGGGGCAGGAGGAGGCCTGCGGTGTGATTGCTCGCACCTGGAACGCAGGCACATTTGTGCTTGTGTTTGCTCAGAACTGTCAGGGCTTTGCCCTTCAGGATATTTCAGGTTTGGAGGCAGTAGGAGGAGTATATGTAGGTAATTCCAGGCACTTTATATCTGCAACATCTTTTTTCTGAGTCTGTTTATAATAGAACTGAAGCCAAAATGTTGCCATCTGTATTCCATTGGGGAGATTTCCCTTCACTGCCAGCCTAATTGTCACAACAGGAAGTGGGAGTAGGCCACCCGAAAGTAAGGGAAATTCCTGATGGTCAGCAGGGTTACCAGAACTAGTGTCCCCATTGGAAGATTCCCCATCTTTCCCAAAGTTTGGGATTTTGTTTGACTTTCACCAAGACAAATAGAGAGTATCAATTTCCCTAACGGGGGACACAGACAACAATAAAAACCTGACACGTATACTAATCCCTCTCCTTTTTACCAAAAA